CCAGCTGGGGCAACAAGAAAATCGGCAAAATCGAGTGTGACTATTAAAAAATCAATAAGTATTATATTAATATTGACAATAACAACCGACCGTCGGGGAGCGTTCTCATGGCGTCCATTATCAACGCTATGGGAGGTCTATGAAGGTCTATGGGACGCCCTGCCTGTTGAAAACTGACTCTAAAGGCCCTGACACACCAGGCCGAAATCGGCCGTTTTCGTTAGTCGGACGACGAAGCGTGCCCTGTCGCCCAAACTCAATTTGGTGTGTCCCGCACCGTCGGCACCGTGGATGTATAATAATAACTGGATACAGCGTGGGAGGCGGGGCCTCATTCATTCCTATGAGAGTTGCTCAATGGCGCATGATGACAAAATGGCCCAACTTTTGAGAGAGCGAAACGTCACAGATTACCCGGCATGCCTGAGAAGTACCCGTATGTGCACTCATAGAGCATGCGCAACTTTAACCACGCCGCCCAAAAGGCTCGTTCACATTAAGCACGTGAATTTGCGTACACGTAACAGCACCGCACGTTCATGACAGCATGGTACTGGATTTATATTAACGAGGCGGCAGTTAGCAGCTAGCGGCTAGCTAGTAAATTATGCTAAGTTACACATCAATCGTTATGTACTTTTATATTACGCTGACATCAGGATCTAGTGATATCCAAGCAACAGAGCTTCATTTAGCATGATACTTGTGTGGGTTGTACATGAAACCACTTGGTAATATATAAAAATGTATATGTTGAAGCCTGTTATGATCAATTGTGAGTTCAAACTTTATCTAAAAAGTAAAGCTGATGATGGATTACTGTGGTGGAGTTAAAATAACAATAGCCTATTTATTTTTGAAATGTGATGGAGTAAAAGGATAGTAACTGTGATTATTCATGTTAAGTAGCCCACAAGTAACTAAAACAATTGCAAGTGCAATAAGAAGCTACAGGAAAGTTAATCTACGTCGGTAATATTAACTTTATTTAATACAACATTTACGGTACAAGATTTACATCATACAGCCCATGTAGTATAATATTTTACAAATGATGAATTACAGCAAACATGTGCAATATATCCATTATTACAGCTCAGTGGGCTGACAGTAAGGCGATATGGTCCTTTGTTATTGTGCATCCATGGGTAAAGAGAAACTCATGTAGTACTGAACACGTAACATGAACGTGCCGGGCGGCGCGGTCCCGTGGGTTAGATGCGCGTTCATAATGCCGAGGGAAATAACTCAGAATAACGTTATTAGCACATTTTTACAACTTGAGGAACGAATGTTTTTAATAAGGGCTATACAAACGTTCATACTGGGTAGTTTATTTAGTTTAAAAAAAATTATCCAACGAATTACAGACCACTCTTTCCCCATGTAGGTCAATGGGAAAAAGTGTTTCCGGGCCCAGCAACCTAAAGGAAGTGTAGTACCGCCGTTTGACCAGCACGAATATTCTCATCAGACTCCGGCGCACTTCCTGGGGGCTTGGTCGGCACGCCTTATTTGGCCTTTCATGGCCGACGCACGGCTGTTCAGCTAGTGAATCAGTGCATGAGAAGCGAAACGGTTGCTTGAGAATGTCTTCCACAAGCAACACTCCAATGGCTGATAGCTCCAGTACCGCACGAAACATGTTTTCGATGGACGAGAGTGAAAATGGAACGCACACGCTATTTGTTGGCCCAATCCCAAACCACTCCCTCGACCCTACCCCTCCGTGATGGAGTGAACTCCGTCTGTAGCCACACTCGCAGCTCAACGAGGCTCCCTCCTGTCAGATGGAGGGAGTAAATACAGCAGCAAGCTTTGGGGCGGCCTCCCCTCTCTCCGGCAGAAACAGGAAATGCCGTAACTGTATGTAACAACAGTTTCAAATCAGCATCTCTTAGACAAAAAGTTTAAATGAATAACTCAAATAAAACTCCAAACATCTTTCATTGTGTTTCAAAGCTCTTTTAGTTTTAAACCTGATGTTTATAAGCTTCTTAGTTTTTGCAACGGTCTGTAAATATACACAACTTTATAATAAAATGCACACATTTACCTTTTTCTAGACTAAACACAGGTATGATCCTAAGTTAAAAACATATGAGGTTATCATGAGGTTGTTAACATCGCAATTTATCAGTGGATGTTTGCTGGAACTACTTGTAAACAGCGTGTTTCCTGACGGACACACACAGCGTGACTCTGGTCAGGTAGAGACCGGTCTCAAGTCAGCACCGCTGCAGACTCGCTGTTTGGGGGCTTGATAGCCCACTCCCCCTCCACACTCGTTGCTTTGGAACAGCCCTCAATATGGCGGACCCTCCGCGTGAACGCGCAAACGGAGGGGTAGGGTGTAGGGGTAGGGTGTAGGGGGCGGTTTGGGAATGGGCCGTTGTTTGTTTATATCACGTAGTCTGTACTTCTTCTTTGTCTTCTGGTTGTTGCCTGTTTTTAATGACGAATACACACTACCGCCGCCTGCTGGTAAGGAGAGTTATTGCCACTCACGCATGCGCACTTCGTACGTACTCGGCTGAAGTCTTTGCGGTGTGTTCCAGTGCGACACATGGCCAAGACGCAGGAGAACACGCCGACGCAACAGTCGGCGTCGGCATCGACGAGTTCTCTGGTGACTGCTTGGTGTGTCAGGGCCTTAAGGGGTACCCTGTCCGTAATAGAGTGACGGGGAGGGGCCCTGACCGACCGTCAACATGTGACGGGTTGGGAGTGAGAACGTGTTGGTTTTTGGATTGACATTGTTTTATAGACTGCAAGGATATTACTTATTTTAATTTCGGTCAACAGATGTCAATAGTTTTAACTCATAGAAGAGAGGGCATGGAAATCAAATATATTTAGTATTAAAACGGCTCGGTTACTTGCTGACTATGTGATGGGTGCAAATAAACAAGCAACATTATAATATTGTACAGTGATTGCAAACTGTAAAAAGGTCAGGGGGGGGGACTATTTCTTCAGCAGAAAGTAGTTCCAATAAAACCTGCAGAGAGAGAAGTAAGGAGATTTGAATTTGTTTTTAATTATCTTTCTTTTAATATTCAGGACACATCGTCCGTGTCAGCTTAAAAGTGTGGGTTCAAAGTTCATTCTTGATTTAAGAAACAGTAGTCAATAGAATAATCTCTCCTCAAAGTCAGATTAGATGTTGTTCTGGACAAAAATGTTAATCCACAATAGTGGTAATTTTTGAAGATGTAATGATTTCATTTGCCCACTAGATGGAGGTATGTTTGACAAGTCCGGGCACCCAAAGTTCATTAGTATTACAGCGAAAGGTCTTTCATCTCTACCTCTCTTTACCATCACTAAAGGAAATGTTTTTATATTGTTATAGAATAATGGACAGTGTGTGAGGAGTAGGCCTACTGACAGCGAGGGCTACACAATGTACATCACATTATAGTCAAGATAAAAATGAACATTATACAGCATGGTTGTTATACATGCTTTTTAACACTGAACACACAGGTAGAACTCTCAGCGCAGCTCTGTGTTCTGCAGCATTCAACATCAGATTATTCCTGTGTGTAAAACACAAAATCCACTCTTCTTTCTGAAAGCTGCATTTTTGTTAGGTGCTTGACTATTATATTTAGCCATTATTAATAAATTAAGTCATTTTCTCCCTGTGGCAACTTAGAGGTTAAAAACAGGTTAAAATATCCAGCAGTTTTATATAAAGCACTTACAATTAGATGACAAACACACTAGCACATCAATAATCACAATCCAGTTATTGAATATACAACTCTGAAATGGGCAATTCAACTCTCAATTATATTTTGATGCCAATGCGTTTGCACTTCTTTTGAAAGCAGTACTTTTACTTCTAACAGAATATATATATTATTATGTTGCATTGTTGGAGAAGCTCGGGACTAAGTTTTTCATTGCCATATCTATACATATGACAATAAAGCCTTTGAATCTTTTAATCTCATCAAACAACTAGCCCCAGCATTGCCATATGGCAATGCAACATAATATAGGACATAAAACAATAAAACAAATTAAAAAGTATAAGAAGAAGACACAGAGATTAGAATAGATTAGAATAAAAATAGTGCAGATTATGTTGATAGACCAAAGTGCAAATAATGCAGATGAAGTTAACTATGTACATGTCAGAAAAAGAAAAAAAATACATACAATGAGCTAAATAATGCATAGAGGGGCACATTTAATGCAAGACAAAAGACACAAAATACAGTGTTCAACATTTTTTATTTAAGTTTTAGCGCACACAAAAAACATAAAATACAATCATTGGTGGGGTTCTTTAGTAACATAATTAGTTTCAGTAGTTCAGTATTCATATTATTAAATTACATTATGAAAAAGAAATGCATTTAAGTTCACTTTGGCTAGTTACAGCACAATGCTACCTGACATTGTATTATCATTATGAACTCTTCTTTTGGAGGGGGGCCACAGAAGGGTCAAAGCTCATTGTTACAGGGGCACTGGCCACCGTTGTCTCCCACCCCTAGAACCGCCCATGGGTACAGGCTCTGTGACCAATGAGCCTTGGATATCACATAGAACAAGCGTTTGCAAGTCCTCATAACAATTAATAATCAAATGGTGAGTTACTCTGATATTTTATTTAAAGTAGCATATGTAAATGTGAAAACCATAGTATTCACATTTACATGTGTCACTTTCTATTTAAAAAATAATCAGTGTGTATTATTGGGGAACAATAAAGTAGCCTATATCACATCTTAAAATGTGATGATAATACATCATCATTTGTTTCTTGATTATGTTTTTGTATTATTATTCCTCAAACTCACTTTTGTTGTAACATAGTGTATTATTACTTATCTTTATACATATTTGAACATTGTACCAAAAGCCAGATATTGAGAACAACAACTAACTTGTGGCATAATAAATAGCTGACATTTAAAAACATTGAATACACTGATGGGCGGTCTGAAAAAAAGAGTAACCGTCGCCTGTGAATGACGACAGAGTGTCGCATAGTTGCATAATTTGGCAAGATGGCCGCCTCCATGAGACTCCTGTTTCGGAGGGTGATCCGTCTTTCCCACATAAATGTTAATGTTACCGCTGCTGGAGCTCCAGGCCGGCCCGCTGGCTGCTGGGAGCCGCCGAGCTGTCGGTGCTTTAGCGAGGCCGCCGGAGACAGAAGCACGCACTTCGGTTTTGAAACGGTGCCGGAGACAGAGAAGGCAAAGAGAGGTGAGGTGTCTCTCTGTATGATAACAAACTTCATTGTCATGTCACTACTTAAAAGCTCCTTGACACACCGCCAGGGAAAGTATTTCAGATGTTGTGGGGATCTTAAGAATGTGCCAGACAATTCGGCTTACACTAAATCCATGAAAATGCATTTCTGTCAATACAATCTCTTTAATGTGTTGAAGGTGAATTTAACAGTGATACCTTGATGCAGATATTGGTATAACGTTTTAAATTGTGTGGTACCTGCAGTGTTGTTTTTATTTTAAGCTAAGGAAATAATTGGCTGATTTAGCACAGAGCATACTATTTCTGTATGTTGTTAACTTGTTGTTCTCGGTCAATATTTACCCAACGTTACACTAATAAACACTCAAAAACCTTTCCCCTCATCAAACTTGTGTTTGGCATAATGGCAAGAATAAAAAACATTTCCTTTCCTTATTGAAAAACTTAATAAAGATGTTCAATTTCATGAATGGTAATTTTAGACATTCTATCATCTAATTATTAAAAGTTATACACAAATAATATTAAAAACATTTAACATGAGTCTTTATCGATCCCCCTAGGGGCAAGTTCAGTTTTCCCTCTTTGTTTATATATATATTTAATACATACACACACACACACACACACACACACACACACACACACACACACACACACACACACACACACACACACACACATATATATGCATTGTAATACAGATAGGTGCACACATGCCAGTCTGTCCGGCACCAGTGAGCAGTTGGGTTCGGTGCCTTGCTCAAGGGCGCCTGGCACCTCTCCACAAAACGGTCCACATTCTGTATTTCTGGTCCGATCGACCCTTCAGCCTGAGCCACTGCCGCCATTTCAAATAAAGATACCTTGTCGAAAGTTTAAAATACAAAGTAATATTTTATTTTTATATTGCCTTTTATTTACCCAGGCAAGTCATTTAGAATATGATTAACATGTCAATAAGTAACCAAAGACATTCAACTTTATATATTGACTTTATCACTTGAGATTTAAAACATTTCTCCTGGATCACAAAACATTAAAGCAAGCGAAAACAAACCATCTAAAGTATATTCTTAGATAGAATATGTGAGTCAGCTTCAGGGACAAGATGCTCTCTCTTTGTGTTTTCCAGTGTATAAGGTGTTTGAGAACGTGGCGCAGAAGTACGACACCATGAACGATGCCATGAGTCTGGGGGTTCACCGACTGTGGAAAGACACGCTGCTCCACGTCATGCACCCCCAGCCCGGGGTGAGACTCCTGGACGTGGCCGGTGGAACGGGTAAAGCAGCTCTTGTGTACTGTACATACCATCAAACTTAAACCTTACCTCACTGACTTCTTGTGTTGTTGTGATTATTCTCCTTGCAGGTGACATTGCGTTCCGTTTTCTGGAGTACGTTCGTTTTCAGCAAGAGAGGCAGAAGCGGCGTGCGGCCCGGTCCATGCAGGCACCGTCGTGGCAGGACATTTCTAACAACTACTCGACAGAGGAGGAGGACGGGCCCCAGGAATCCAGAGCGGTGGTCTGTGACATCAACAAGGAGATGCTGAGAGTAGGAAAGCAGAAGGCTGACGGCGTGGGCATCAGTGCTGGTGAGCTTCACTCTGATAAACTCAAGACATGTGATCCCTGAGTTTTCCCTCAGATGTGAAACACAGCTTTTTGGGATTATCTCTTCACAATATATGTACAGGTCATAGGGACAAATGTAGGGCTGCAGCTAACAATTATTTTCTCTATTGATTCATCTGCAGATGAGGTTCTCTTATTAATCACATGGAGTCCAAAGTGATGACTTCAAATGTCTTGTTTCGGCCATCCATATGCGAAAGATATTCAGTTTAATTTGATACAAAACAGAGAAATGCCGGACATCTCCTTCTTAAAGAGGCTTTAAACATCTTTGCATGGAAAATTACTTTTAAATCTTTAATCTATTTTTAAAATTGTTCAAATAAGTTTTCTGTTAATCAGTGCAGCTCTAGTTATAGGAGTCTGAATTCACCTCCATCCTTGCGTCCAGAGTCAGACAGCCATTTTTGTTATTGCCCAAATGTGTCCATACGTTATATTATGACAAAGTTATACAAAAATACAAGTTTGGCTTTTTTTTTTTTGTGAGTAAAGCATCCAAAAGTTTTATTTTGGTTTCAGTTATAAAACTCAAAATAGTTATCATTAATATGGTTTTAGTCAGAATTCCATTTGTATTACTAATTGTTGTTAGACATTTCTAAATCAGGCAGCCATAAACAAGAGCTTTAGCTAACATTCAGTTCTTGTATTGGTGCCTGTAGTTTTCATTTAAATTTGCTGTATTAGTTTTTTATTCAAAAACTAATCTGTTGCATTTTAGCGATATACTATAGTACTATAGTAAAGCAGAATTAAGTACACTTTAAAAAATCTGTTTATTTATTGCAGTTCATATTATTGTATTCAACAATGTTACAGAAAATATCTTTCTTGTATTGTCGAGCCTTAAATCTACAGCTGGATGTCTCAGATAATATTATGCAAACACTTGTTTGAGCGTTCTGTGCGACCATGCATGATCTCAACGGTGTACATAATCATTATTCTTCCACCTTGTGATCTGAGGGCAACGTTTGCTGAAGTGTGCCTGTGTGCGGCAGGTCTGTCCTGGGTAGTGGGGGACGCAGAGGAGCTGCCCTTTGATGATGACCAGTTCGATATTTATACCATCGCCTTTGGGATTCGAAACGTCACCCATATAGATCAGGTAACTGGTTGCATTATCACTACAGCTTCTCTCATGCTCAGAGGCTTCTATGAAGACTGTTCATTCATATTCCCGGGATCCACATGAGAAAGCACACATTACAAATAACAGTCCAGATCAAATAACACATTGAAAAATAATCATGAAAGTACAGTCCATGTAAATCAGTGGTTCTCAAACTTTTTCTGTTTCTTTGGAGGAGAAAAAAATTCGGGCCCCCCCCCCAACACAAATAGTCAGGCTCAGTGGCGGCGCCAGAGATTTCTTTTGGGGGTGCTGTGGGGTAGCTTGACGTTTCATAGAGGGTGCTCAAACATTTAGGGTTTAATGTACCGGGCGCTACAGTGGAATTTTCTACTGCAACACTCCCCACGCAAATACACAGTGTACCCGCGACTGTTACAATGGAGGTTCGATAATCAGCTCACGGCATATTGGTAAGCAGGGGTAAAGTGCTATTTTTACAGGTGGTGTGTGGACCTCACAAATACCTCATTCACACCAACAGTGTTTCAAGGCCGGTTCGGAGCTGGAGCTTGAAAAGCACCGGGTTTTCCTCTTCACACCGCAGCGGAGCAGCCTCTTAGCTCCAGAATCCGGTTCGTTTCAAGCACCAACAAATTGTCCGGCCAGAGCAAAAGCACCGCATACGTCGAGGCGGGGGAAGAGACAGGATCAACTCCTGAACAACAACAAAAAGCCCGCGTTTTATCCAGTTTGTACACAACGATGGAGAAACTTAACAAGAGTTTCAGTGTTTCTGCCATAGACTGTATATATATAAAGGTTTCTGCAACGTGTCTGCGTGTTAAGGTGGAACCTGAGCATTCACGTTGATCACCTCTCATTATAACTCATTATAAATCTATAAAACTATAAATATTAAACTTTACTTCACGTGTTCATTTGAGAACAGCTGTTATACCCGGGCGAAGGTTACAGTTCATTTAAATGAAAGATACAACGTTACTCCACACTCATGGTTCAGTCCACCTTAAGAAATAAGACCGACCTCGGAAGCAGTTGTGTTTTAAAAAAACCTTTATTGACACGAGTACACTTTTTTATAAGAATATAACTAAACCACGGAAAAGCTGCAGATAGAGCCATAAGAAATTAATGCAACTGATTTCATCCGCACGGTTTGGCTTTATGAAGCAGGCACGCAAACGGTTACGTCATGAGGCAAACGATGACGCAGCACCAGTCGGACTCTGGGCGGTGTGAAAAGAGCCAGAGCTAAACTGAAGAACCGGTTCTGAACCTGAAAAGCTCTAGCACGGAGCTTGAACCGGAGTTGCGTTGGTGTGAATGAGGTAATAGGAGGGGTCTGGGGGCAAGCTCGTCCGGGAAGATTTTTTTTTAAAATATTGAAGTTAAAAGCATCAATCTGGTGCACTTTGAGAGTAAAATGAAGAGATCTATGGATACATCTCTCAACACCCATATGAAACAGAACTGTAAACAGATTTACTTTTTCTTTATGGATATTTTACAAATCACTCTCCTTTTAAACTTTATTCTTTTTTTACTGTCATATAGTATTTCATACCTGTTTTTCATTTATTCTCTTATTTTTGTATAACTATAATGATCATATAAATGTGTGCCTCAGAAATAATTGTTTACATTAATGGTGACCAAAACGTTTGAGACCCACTGAGATAACACTGAGAGTCCTTTAGATCACTGAGTCTCTCAGTCTGACAGGAGAGGACTCTCCTCCACTTTGTTGTTGAAAAAACTCCTTATATCCGTTAGCGTAGCTCGCTAGAAGCTAACAACAATCTCTGGTACCGGTGCGCTCTCTCTCTCTCGCTCGCGCACGCACACAAAATGGCTCGTTCCACACACACACACACACACACACACAGAGCCGAGCTTTAATGAAACACAGAGACCCAGACGTAATAGATAGTACTGTACTGCATCATATTATTTTCGAATCAATAATTTTTCAAAATATGATAATTTTTTTTATAACCATTTTTCCTCCTGGTCTCTCGCGCCCCCCCTGGCATGCCTCTGCACCCCCCCCCACTTTGAGAACCACTGATGTAAATCAACACATTTAAAAACACACCATAAACATAACAGTCCTTGTGAATCAACACTTTTAAAGAGACGCATGCAAAATTAAAGTAGATGCAAATCACAAACATTAGACATATTTTAGTGAATAAAATGTATATGTGTTTGTTTAATCTGATTACATTTCTATATTATCTAATGCATAACACTCTACTTATAGACAGTACTGTCAAGTGTTTAACTGTGATCTATTTGATCACATATGATTGTCAGAAAAAGAAACCAAAGAAGTTGTTGTGCATTTGTAGATAATGTGTTTTCATTTGAACATGCTTTAAACATCTTACACGTGAATTAAGAGAGCTCACAGCTAGACTTGTTTTGGCAAATTGTTAAATGTATTTAGAGATGCATCTAAAATATAATTCTTCAATTATCCAGTGTGTAACATGGATATGTAAACTAGAGTATGTCTTTCAATTGTTTCAAATCCAATAATACTCAACTTACAAAGAAAGGTATTTTTCAAAGAACTGCAAAGCTGTTACTAACTGATATCTGTGCTGTAGAAGTGACTTGAGATATTCAGTAATCATTTAAACTGTCATTAAAGAGGCCCTTTTCTGCTTTTGGGGATTTCCCTCTCCTGTAGTGTGTGCTATAGGTTTGTGTGCATGTAAATGGACTGCAAAAACTTAACCCCCCCCCCCCCCCCCCATGCCACAGTAGAGGCACAGAATACTAATATGAACCTGAAGATGAGCCCCTTTAAGCATGTCAGCACTCATTCTGTTCTGGTTCTCAGGCTCTGCAGGAGGCTCTTCGTGTCCTGAAGCCCGGTGGCAGGTTTATGTGTTTGGAGTTCAGCAAAGTGACAAATCCTGTTCTAGCAAGGTGAGGAGCAGTGCTCTCTAATGAATTGTGACTAACTGTGAATATGAATCAACCGTATGAATCTCAGAGAGTCTGTTGATTCATCACATTTTCACAGCTTGTTGTTTCTCTCGGAGGTGGTCGTATTCAAGAGTAGAGTACCCTGTTTCACCACATACAAGCAGTTGTTTTTCTTTTAAGTTACATATATGCTGCCTACATTAAGACAGATCCCATAGATGCTCGGTTATACTGAGCACAAATAGAAATATATATATATATGTTTTTTTATCTGAGTGGATTTTGTGTCCTTGGATGAACACGCCCCCTTGTGGTTTTGTGCCTAAAAGCACTTCAGCTTGTTAAATGTGAGCTGGCTGCAGAGTACTAAACAGGGTTCTTATGGTCATTAAAAACCTGGAAAAGTCATGGAAATTCAAAATGCAAATTCCAGGCCCTGGAAAACAATATTTTTCATGTCATGGAATGTAACTAACGTTGCATCAAATATAATTTATATTTTATCTAATCGCCAAAATAGTAATACTATAATGCTAATAAATACTGTATAGTAATGAAACGTCAAATGGTATTTAGCTGGTGAGAGATTTTAGTTGCTTTAGCGTGTAGAAGCTAGTAAGCCTACTATTTGATTTGTTTTAGATAGGCACAACATGTTTCATATTTAGACCTTATTTTCCTGTTCCATGTTAAAATAAACCATTTTCAGTGATACGCTGAGAAAGTGTTATTTTGGTCATGGAAAATCAGGTAAAGGTCATGGAGAAGTCATTGATGAAAAAGTGTATGAACCCTGACTAAAGAGCAAGGAGAGTGGATACTCTGAAGGTTCCAGTGTTCAGATTAACACTCCTCCAAGAACACAGGAATAGTTTGAGTCAAATATTTTTTTTAAGAATCGGTTTAAATAAAAACCTGGAGACTTGTTGCTCCATGGCCAGAGGTGGGAGAAGTACTCAGATCTTGTACCAAAAGTAAAAGTACTCATTATGCAAATTAGTCCATTTCAAATTAATGAAAAAAAAGGCGCTGTGTTATTCTTTTTAAAATACTTGTATAGGCTAAGAACTCATCACAAACAAACGATTAGTTTCATATAAGAAGGATTTAGAAAAATGAGTATCTGCAGCAGGTTTCAGCTCACTGACTTTGATCCCGTTTCATGTTTTCAGGCTTTATGACGCTTACAGTTTCCAGATGATCCCAGTTTTGGGAGAGGTGATAGCTGGAGACTGGAAGTCTTACCAGTATCTGGTAGAAAGCATCCGCAAGTTCCCGGACCAGGTAAGAACATTTTTTTCTTTCTTCCGTCTACTCTTTTCTACCATTGCTACTCTGATTTGATTCAACTCCAGTTGGGGGTATTTCATCACTTTCTGATTTTAATGGTTTAATTTAGGATATGTGCAGAATCCAGATGTTAAATGTAATACCTTTTTATTATTTTAAAGACCTTTTGCTAAGTACATTTTAAGGTCAGATAATGGGGAAACATTTGTAGTGATCTTTTTTTTTTAAAGGACAAAACTACTGAATAACTGAGTCACTGTATGTTTCCTTAAGTTCATGTTTTTCAAGCTGTCTGCAGTGTAACTTTGTGGACTCAGTCATTTCCTTTTCTTCTTTCCTGAAGGAGGAGTTTAAAGGTATGATTGAGGACGCAGGTTTCTACTCTGTGAAGTACTACAACCTCACCGGTGGAGTCGTGGCTCTTCACTCTGGTTTCAAGCTGTGAGATGCACTCCTGGAAAACAGAAGCAAAAAGACTGGCTCTGTGTTTCACACTTCTGTCTGTATTTCAAACTGTGTGCAGAGTTCTCAGACATGAACGTCAGAGCTCCTCTCTCAGCAATGACTGCACCATGAGAGAAACATGTCGGTGGACATATTTATTTCCCTGCTGATGGTCTTGGTTCAGCAACGATTAGACTGTACTAAATACCTTTGTTGGTAAAGAATGCTGCACTGATAACCTAAATGTCACTATATTTGTGGTATCAGTGTTAAGGCTACTAGCAAGTGAGTTTATGTGCAGCTTGTTTCAAATATGTTTGATGTAATATTTACATTTTGGCTACAAATAAAGAATGTTTAAAGGATCTCTGTATCTGAATGGATTATTCTCAAAGCAATGTATTTCTTCTGCATCTTCAAAATCTCAATGTGAAATGCAGGTAATGGAAAGGAGATCACAGGAGATACTGGAATACATTGGACTTTTTGGTCAGAGAAGATCTAACTGTCCTGATTGTAATTACGATGCATATACAACGTCTCCATGGAATGTTCTCGAAATAAAAAGCAACCGAATAACTCAAATGTTCATATTTTGATGCTTGTTCTATTTTGAAATGAAATAGTTGAATGTGTCAATATCAGAAAAAAACCAACATGCAAAAATGATTATTTTAGCACATTTTCAACATACTTTACTACGTTGTTTTTTCTGATAGTTTAGACGTAGTGTTCTACGTAGTTTTTGCTACTTCTTGACTTACTAAACTGTCATTTTTGGTATTTCGTCGTACTATACTGTCGTTTTTTGCATCATTTCAACATAATATATTACATGGTTTTTTTCTCGATGTATGTTCTATGTTGTGTGTTCTGATATTTTCAACACACTGTCGTTTTTTGCATAATTTCAAAATACAAGTGTTTTTTTTCCGATATTTTCAACGTACTATACTATGCTGTTTTTAGCATGTGTTTCTCATACTACAATGTATTTTCTTTTACACATTTTCGACAAACAATTATACGTTTTAATTTGTTTGACTATTTTCTACAAACGATACTACTGGTTCTGTGTTTCACGCTTTTCTGTGTAACTGCCAAACTAAAGCCCCAGAGCTCCTCTCTGCAGCAATGACAGAAAAACATGTCCGACATGAAGAGTGAACATATTTTCCTGAGCTCAGTTCAGTGACGCTTAAACTGTACTAAATACAGAAAGCAATCCCAAAATGCCTCTATATTTGTGGTATCAATGTTAGGACTACTAGCAACTGAGTTTAGTTTGGAATATTTTTCTGTAACAGCTACGGAAGGCAAAGACTTTCTTCTTATGATAAAACAATGTCAAAATCTGAATGTGAAGTGCAGGTAATAAAAAGGAGGACACCACAACATGAGTTACTTGAATAAAACTGTATATTTTACAGATCTTTGTACACTTTAATTACAAAACTGTATGGTACTAAAGTTTTAAAATCAGTTTTTTGGTCAGAGAAGATTTAATCGTCTTGTGTGCAATTACCATGTATATACAAAGTCTCATGTTAGTGATTTTTCTCAAAATAAAAAGCAACCAAATAACTCAAACGTTCATACACTCTGAACATAAGACATGGCTTAAAGATAAATATATTAGTAAATAAATATTCAGAGAACATTTCCATTTATGAAATGTGTTTGCTATACAGGTACAGAAATATACACAGATTGATTTCTAGCCTTTTTTTCTTTAAAACATTTGTAATGGTAGTGACAGAGAATAATTATATTCTTAAAAAATTAAAAAATATTAATTTTTGTACACATTTTAAGTGCTAGAAACGATAACAAAAAAATTAAATAGTGACTCAAGTACCCAAAATGTTATATTTGCAGTAGGTACATATCTCTATGCAAAAGGCAAGATTAGATTCTCACTTGATTACAGCACTGGGTTAACTTATAAATAGGGTTATTCAGAAAGTCTTCCTCTGTAGAGAATGTATATTTCATAGAAACAGTATAAAAACAGTCTGCAGGACAAACAGAAAGGCATGAATGACAAGCATTGATATCGCGAGTATGTATTATGCATGGCACGATATGATTCAAACAGATACACTATGGTATTTATAACTGCATTGTTTAAAAAAAAAATCACAGTAAAATAAGGAACCCTTGTGAAAAATGAGTCTTTTCCAGCTACCTTCCTTTGGCCTTTTGATACATACTAGATATCTTTTAGAGCATGTCTCATTTAGGAAATTGGGTAAGTGACAGCAAAAATACACTTTTATGGGCTTCCAAACAAAAAGTAAGAGTGCAACACTCTGCTTCTGAAAAACATCTACTGACCCCGAGACACTGCCACTTCAGACAACCCAAAGAGGCGCAGTGTCTTTTAGATATTGCTACAAACAGCTTCCCAGCGTAAGGCTTTCATGTTGCTCTGGCACATTTCATACAGGTAGGCCACTGCTGGACAGAAATGCAATGCATAAACAAATTCTGTATTAATATTGAATAGACACCAGTGTCAGCCTTGCATTCACATTTCTATGCATTTTTCTGTAATATATAGCTTCTTCTCCTCAGAGAAATGTGTGGGTCACAGACACTTAAAAAGGACCCATTTCCCTGCTTTTGACAAAAGTAAAAGAAAATAAAACAATCAAGTCTTTCTGTTTTGGTATAGCTATGTCCGTACAACCTATTCGAGCTGGTGGTTGAAGCTTTATAGGCAGTCAGTGTTTATGCGTGCACCTATACATGTAGATGTTTGTGAATTAAGGGTGATCTTTTTGTGGAGAAAAAAAAGGCAGATTCCTAGATTTTGCAGAAAAGATATAGAAACTAAAATCTCTTAAGAAATGGGCCCAGATGACTTAATTACCCTTGATGGCAGCAGATAGAAACCAAACCAACCTACTTCTAGTTTCAGTCCATCTATATTTGTAGTTCCACTTTGTCTCAGTGCTATGAAAACATGGTGCCGAGATGTTTCATGGCCACAGGAATGAACTTGACACACTGTCTAGAAATGACAGGCCATTTCAGTAGACATCCACACAATCGAAGATGATAACATTCAGTGCTCAGAGAGCACGGTTACAACAAGGCAGCTGAGGGTTTCAATGATTGACTGACAGATTCGGTACCAAATACATACTTCAGACTGAGTCCCATCTCACTGGGCTCTAAGTTCATATACCAAGACCCCCCTCATTTGATGGTGTACTGCTCCCCAAAGCAGCTGGGCTGGCAGAGAGCTGAGGGTGAAACAAAGCCCTGGTCTCCTCCTCCAGAGGGTACGACTGACCTCTAAATTGTCCAGAGGTAAAATACCTCTCCCTGGGCTCATGTTGCTCTGCTGTCCGCCCCTCTGCCTCCACTGGGACATTAATGGGTAATAAACTGCTCTGGGTCTCTTCCCCTGGGCCCAATTCACAATCTGTGTCCTCAGGAATTATGGGTATTCTCTGGTTGAGTTCACAGCAGCCCTGCCCGGAACAGACTTCCGAGTCTGCGTACTGCACATTAACAGCATAGTCCTCGGCGTAGCGGCCCCCCGCGGCCCTGTGCACCTTCAGCTCTTTGTAGAAGCAGCAAGGCAGCCCTTCGTAGCTCACCTGCTCCGAGGGGGGGCACAGGTGCTCGGGGGCAAAGTAGTTCTTGGAGGAGGCGCTGTGAAAGTCCATCCCCCTGTGAAAGCGTCCTGAGGCCAGAGGCCCAGCTTGGTCCGAGTCCTGCCCTTTGCACTCCACATTGGGAGGGGGGCCCTCGAAGCAGCAGCTACAGGCTGCAGCCCCGAGCTCCCCCGACTCTTCCTGTGGCCCCTTCCCCCTGTCTGCTCTGGGGGGCTCTGGAGCCCCGGCTGAGGTAGTGCTAGTGTTGCTGTTCTCCCTGGGTTCCAGTGATGAGTGACTGCTGTAGTTGGGCTCCAAGCTGCAGTTGGAGAGGTGGTCCCCCGAGTTATATCCTGAAGCTCCGGGGGGGAGCTGCAGGCAGTCGTGTCCCAAGGGAACAGGGGATGAGGAATCCTCAGCAGGAGCTGTGGCGCACGCCGCAGCCCCCGCCTCCCCCACAGACCCCCTGCATGGACTCTTACTCCGGTACACGTACGGATCGTAGTCGCTGCTCAGCGAGCTGCGGAAAGTGGAGCAGCTGCCGTACACCCCCTGGTTGCTGACCTCAGTACAGTCCAACATGGAGTCGCTGGAGGAACAGTGGCACTGACCCGAGCTGCTGCTGCTGCTGTCGCTGCCAGGGCAGTCGGCAAGGTAACCACTGCACACCGAGCGGTGACCGTGGTAACAGTTCAGGCCAGAAGTGCTGCTAGTATCACCGATTCTTGTAGCAGAGGCTGGTGCCATGTGCACCACAGTGGGGTATAACAGACCCTGCTGGAAGGCCCTGCTGTGGTGGCCCTTATGGGCCCCCCCTCCTCCACCAAGCTGCCCTGCCATAGCAGGCCCCTGGCCCCCCTCGGGCTGTTGGGGGAAAGTCAAGCCCTGAAAATAGTAGTGCTGGTACATAGTCTCGTACTGCGAGAAGCACGCTGCTCGGGAAAAATTTCGACCATGGAACTTTGGCCGTTTGAAAGCACCGTGATGCGGCTGTGCTGGGTAGGCGGGGGGGCCGCGGTGCTCTAATCCACAGTGGTGGGGGTTGACCGAGTGGTCCAGATGGAGGGTGGGGTGGTAGCTCCGCAGAAAGGCGGATGTTGATTGGGGGGTGTACAGACCCTGAGGATCTGGGTGCTGGTCCACGGTCAGCATGGTGATGGGGTTTCCGTGGGGGTCCATGCTGGTTCTGGTTGGGTAGGCGGTCACCTGGCCGGCGCGGTGCACCCTGCCGGGGTAGTGGACCGGCAGCACCACCCGCTGCCGGCTGTGCACTGGGTTGCCGGGGTCCATGCAGGCTGGTCCTGGATTCCCCTTCTTTTGCTCTGAAAAATAACAACATATCCTCATGAATGTCTCTGTTGTATCTCAGCGTATCTTTTTTGTTCCTTTGATAAAATATGTTTTTTTTCTCTTGATGACAAAGAGTGTTTTATCTGAACATCAGAGCTAAATATTGTCTTACCGATGATGTTGTGTCTACAGTGGGGGCAGGTGTGATGCTGGAGCAGCCAGGGGTCCACACATTTCTTATGAAACCTGTGAGCACACGGGATAACTCGCAGCTCCTGTGGGGGGAAACACATCAAGATACAACTGTCAGATACTACCGTAATGTAATACACAAATAACAATTGTTTATAGGCACACTTTGTATCATAATGGAACATACTGTATACAAGTAAGTTAAGAATAACAATTAATAATGATACTTTACGTGTCAATTAACTCTCTGCCTAAAAGTGAAACACATTTAAACAATGGCGTAAGGAGTTATTGCAATCCAACACGGTTAAGTTGTGCTTTCCTACAGTCAATGTCAAACAGATGTTAGTAAAAATGTGAAGCTGATATAACCATATACAAGTCAAGGTGACGATAGAAGAAATGTAATTTCAGGATTGATGAATTCCTGCAACTCCCAAAGTTACCAATTTGTTACATAAACAATTCTCAGGTAAGTAACAAACGTCCACAAGGTGGCAGCAAAGCTGTACAGAGCTGTCAACTGTAGTGAATTGATTAACATTTTACCTCTGAGTAATCTAATTCATATTATGCCAAAAACAAAACCCTTAACAACAAGTCACACAATGGTACAAATAGTCTGTCGTCAATGTCACCACTTTCTGGAACAAAACAAACAAACGGCTAACACTGGAGGATTGATATGAAAGGAATGCAACACTTTGTATTCAGACGGAGAACTGGCATGGAGGAATTCCAGGATGACAGGAGGAGAGCTCTCACTGCCATTAATACTTTATTCTAAGGTTGATGTGACTCATCTTTGGGCCCTCTTCCACCCAGGCTTTTGTTGATTCACTGCAGAAAAAGCGCTTTGATGCCATTCAGCCTTTTATATTGCCACTTCCTCTGTGCAAGCCTGGCGCCACGCTTTGTTATGATTTCTTCACCGAAGAGACACATAACCACAAAAACAAACCTTACACATAAGCCAACTATGTCCCCCCCCCCCCCCGGGCAATGGGGTTTGTCCCCATAGCGAAGATGAGCAATGCTGTTACAGTTAAGCTTAAAAGTCCAACATTGGGAAACATATTTTTACAATGACTCCTTTAAAAGATGAAAGAAAGCCACATTTGGGAAAACAGGAAGCATAATCACAACCTAATGCACTCTGGGTACCGTTATCTCTCCAGGTGCTCTCAAAGACTGAACTAAACATCTGAAAAGGCGCCGGAAAGAGCGTCACGGAGGATCGCGGTCCCCGAGCACATCAGGGGAACTTCCATTCTATTGTCCACATAACTGCATTATGTTTCATGTCTACAGAATATAAAGAAAAGAAAACAAGCACAGGTGGACGGTGACCACACTAACACTGCCAGCAAAGTTGTTTCTCCCTCATGGTCCACTTATGCTCTAGAGTTTGGATAAACAGCCGCTCACGTACATTATCTCTGAGTTGCTAAGAGAAATTGTAATCAGTTTTTGTTTAGCTTTTTAAAAAGGTTCATTGGTGTTTTTGATTAGATTTCACAATCATGGTCCCAACAGATACAAATAAAATAAGGTTCACCACAGTTCACAATAAACAAGATCCTTATAAAATGTGTATGGTAAACCAAAAATTAAACAAAATACAAGTTAAATAACGCAAACAAGATGTAGTTTATGCTCATTATAAGAGTTTAATCGCAAAATATGAAACCACAAAGTATTTGGGACTTAAATGACCAAACGACCAAACGTCTCTATACTGAAACATTATTATTAATATTTCTCTCCAAGAGCCTGACAAAGCCACACTTTACCGTTTTTGAGGTACCCTTTTCACTAAGTTGAGGTATTATCACGGTTTTTAGTTGCATTAGCTACCAAAATATGTGGACTGGCTAAAAGTTCATTTCGAAATAGTATACTTATATGTGTACATATACAAAAAGAAAGGTATTAATGTGAGAGCTAGCATTGCAACCCGTATTGAAAAAAAAGTTGATGGCAATACCATTATACCGTCTGTCATCAAAGCAGATAAAGTCTCTATATGAACTCAAAGGACGTAGCATCTTTTCTTACCTCCCCATCGATGTACTTTTCTAGACAGATGGCGCAGTCGGAGGTGGAGCTGCTGCTCAGAGAATCGGAGGCTCCACAGCTGCTCTCGCGCTGGCCCTTTCCTTTGGCCTTGAACTTCCTCGTCTCCATCTTTTCCAAGGCTTGGATGGCCATTCTGTTCATGGAGCTCTGTGGTGGGGGGGGGGGTGAGGTACAGGTTCAGCGAGGATTATGAGACCCACAAACAAGGCATTTCAATGATAAAACTAACAGTCCACTCAGAGAGGATGTTTCTGGGTAAAAAACCCATTACATTTCCATGCGTCAGTGTTGGCAACTTTTTAACCGTGTTCTTCTTTGTTGATGTTCAAAAGCTCCTATTATGCACATTTCGAGGTTCATATTTGTATGTTCTACTGTGACATGTTTACATGCTTTAATATTCAAAAAGCTCTTTATTTTGTTCATACTCTCTTACATATTCTGTCTGAAACAGAGCCCAGTGTTCTCTGATTGGTTAGCTGGTCGGCTCTGTTGTGATTGGTCAACTTAGCTTACAAATTTCCGGCCCCTTAGCCTATCACGTACACTGTGTTGGAGCACTAGCCAATAGAAGCGCGAGTGTAATGTAGTGATGTCACTATGTTACAGAAGTAAACAAAGGACTACAATCAAGGCGTTTCAGGCAGGAAAGGGCGGGGGGGAGAGGACATCTCCACACTTGGGATTTTAACCTTAGCAGCCACAAAAACCTATATAACACACTGCAGAGAAGAAAACCCCCCAAAAGCATAATAGGGCCCCTTTAATGACAGAGGGTTACATTTGTCATGATTAGACATGTTCCCCATTGTCACATTACATCATTGTGCAATGTTTCACTGATGCTTTAGCAACGCTCTCTGGTTCTCCACTCTTTTTATCACTCATTTGTTTTGTATTGCCTTCAAAATATAGCTTGGTGATTGATGAAAGTTGCCACATGCAGAACCACTTATGAGGATTAAACTAAATGATTCACATGTGTAGCAGACATTGGGACATAAAGCAGTAAACCAGAGTTATTTATGTGTAGGCTTTACTTAAAGGAAGGAACGCTCTCCAGGGCCTTTTTCTTGCTGCCTCACAACGGGATAATTGAAGTCTTTCTAAGGACATCCTTGTAAGTTAAAGAGCAATGAACTTTGGCATGAAAGCCAATCTCATCACAGGGTTAAGAAATATAGAACATGAGGTAATTAACTGCAGTGTTGTGAGGGCAAACCCTGGAGGAAACCTTAGATAAAGCCCAAACTGTTCTGCTTTTAACAGTCAAACTAGAGAGGAAATGTTAATACTGTATTAACAATATTTACACTACAAGATGTTTATTGCATTTTCCCATTTCAGGGAGGAAAGGTTGTTGTAATGTAACAGTCCCCTCTGGTGTGAGCTGCTCTCTTAATTAACCACCAAAGGAAGTCATCGGCTGCTGTGCCACAAATTACACACACACAGAGAAAGAAAGTGTCTTGACACACGTGTGCTGACGGGATTACACCGGATGCCGCTACAGTTTTTCTGCTCTGTCATGACACCTCTGTGTTTTTTTGCCCCAGCGGCCAACTTCTCATCAGCGCTAATTAAATGCTAATCCTGATTCATGCGCCCAGACATAAGCCTCCACTGAGAGCTTTTAGTTAACCATCGAGAGGAATCAATCAAAATGGTTGCTACCGTCACCCAGCTCTGGTAGAGCCACGCTGCGTGGAAAAACACGGCATTGGGAAGCGTGTTTTGTGTCACATCACTGTGTTTGTGACTCGAACTTGCTTTGTGATGAGTGTGTGTTCTGACACTGACCTGGCTTCTCCTTTGCTTGAGTTTGATCTTGATGAGCAGAATGAGGCACACCAGCGACACAACCACGAAGAAAGCTAGGAAGATGCCCATGTCGAAATATTCTGTGGGCTGCTGTGGAAAAAAGAGGGCAAGAGAAACACATTTGTCAAATTATCTTCACACGCAGTCGTTAAAAATGGTTAGTTGCTCATTAGAGCAGACCACTCAGTGATGTGACTCGTTGAACATGTTATTAGGCAAATACAAATAAATAAAAAGGACTTTATGGATGGACGATTGAATGTGCATTTAAATCATTGCAGTGTCTTTTTTGTTGTTGCCATTGTGTCAATGTAAGACTGTCGGATGTAGTCACAACTACATCTCTCAATCAAACAAGACAACTCTGCAGATTGCAGAAAAAACGCTTCAATACAAAGCTTATCGGCAGAAGGGGTTTGTTTGTCAAGGATTTGTCATTTTTCAAGCAATGATCATGTTGTTCTAGTTTCTCAACTGGGAGGATTTACTTGGGTTTTGGAATGTTGGTTGGTTGACACAAGCTAATTAAATGCTTAACTCCGTAGATTTCACTGCTTTTCGCTCAATAACAGACTGATCAATTGCCAGTTCATTTGATAATTAGATCATTATTTCAGACTTTATTTACTTGAAAAAGCAGAATTTGCATCTTTGCTTTTTGCTGAGATGAGTCCGATAACTTGTGGGGGTAAACACTTTTATTATAAGATTAGCAAGATTGTTATTCTCATCAAAACAACTTCTCTCAGGCTTTCATTATGTCAAGTTATTTGACCTCCAAGTGCTGGTCCTTTTATCGAATATTTCTAAGCAGACAAACAGTTCTTTGAATGGCTGATATGTATCTCCCTCAGTGCCTCTGGGAAACGGATAAGAAAGACAGGGTCAGATTTCACAGCTGGAACTTTTGAATGTCTTCACATCTTAAAAAACTTCTCTGTGCTGATTGCTGCTTGGGCCTCACAAACATGTTCACCTTTTCCTCATGTTCCTCACATGTGCCTTAGATTAGTGTCACACACATGCACGTCATCTACACGGAGTGTGGTTTTGGCATGTGCTCTTACCCTCGGTGGTCTGTGTTGTATCCGAGCGCGGGCCACTTTCTGCTTGTTGACGATGTTCATCAATTTGACGGCGTCATTGCCCTTCACGTAAACCACGGGCCGCTTCAGAGGATCCTCTGCAACCTGGTTCAGCTGAACAGAGGGAAGAAGAAAGAACTACATCAAACACACATGTACACACTCAAGTCATTTATCTTGTCAATAATGCAATTTGTCTAGGTTCTCATCATGAGAAAAAATGTCTTCAATTGCATAAAAGGAAATTCATGATCCAGTGTTATATATATATACTGCCCTGTTGTGATTCCTCCAACTTTATTCAACTGTAGCTCTAAATCAGCGGAGAAATAACAAAGTTCTGCTAAACAAAGTTAATTTATTATCTATTGGAAAGCTTTACCATAACCTCCTAAGTATTGACTCGTCATGTATAGAAACAATGAAAATAAATGGAGCCGAGCTTTAAAAACAAATGGTTCATTTATTTGAAGTCACACACAAATAACCGTCCATAACAAATGAAAAGAAGAAACGGCACAGAGAGTTCTGAAAATAACTAAAAGGTCTTTAGTATTGGTATGAAAGCTGAACACTCATGAAAAACAAGATTGTGTGTCAACCATGCAAAGCCTTTTAATTATACACAGCACAGAGGGGGCCTTTAAATCTGTGGGAAGTAAACATGGCTTGATTTTCAGGGGACTTTCGACAAAGTACTTTAGTAGGCACTGCCCGAATGCTTGTGTACGGACTCTTTTACTAACTAGCCAAAATGACCTCCAGGCTCAACACATGGAAACTGTGGTTGCAGTTTGCCAGAGGGAGCCGGGGGAAACAGTCAATGAAAAGGATGTTTTGGCTTTGGAGTCAGTTGACATCCTTCTTTTACCCCTTCTCTTTCTCCCTCCTACTCTCGTCTGCTGGTTGGAATCTGTAATTTGAAAAGCCCAAAGGAAATACCGAGGGTATTCACATTTCTATTTCTTCTGCTGCCGTCATGTTCTCCAGGGAAATACTGTATGTTCTGGTTTCAAAAGTACTTTTGATCTCTTGCTTCACTCTTGTGCGTTGCTCCCACTTTGAGAAAATAACTCCACAGAGCCTCTGACAAACAATAAACCATTTCAAAATTACAACTATAAGAAAAGCTGTTTAAAGAGAGTTGAAACTCAACTTCCCCCCACAAAAAAACCCACATTATTGATTAAATCAGCCTCAAAGGAAGTATACATTGAGACAGAAAAGGAGGTCAAGTACATAACTTCATAAGGCTTTTCACCTTATTTTGTCCCAAGGATCTTAATTCCCCCTAAGCTCCTCCTCCCTGCCCCTCGGCCTTGTGGGTCCTGTCTCTGCTGATCAGGCCGCTCTGACTGGAAAAGCCTCTCGGGGGAATTTAACACAGCCGCCCAGCGCTGCCTTTCATGTGGTCTCCGCGCAATCCCTTTTATCTCTCAGCTACGCGCTTTACGACTCAGCGGCAGAGGAGAGAAAGAAGAAAAACCCTGCAAGTCCAGACCTGGTGTGGCGAGTATGAATACCACAGAAGCATTCTTGTGACAAAGGCGTTCAGAGGAACAACTTGTGAATTATATCGCTTAACAGCGAGGATAGGGAGCAATGTCTGGATGCTTGTAACAACAAATGCACTTTGTTCCTACTGTAGCCCATGTGAGCGCTCCCAAAATGTGCACAGATCCGTGGTCTCGGGGGATGAGGTAATGTTTTCTACCTGTACAATTATGAGCTCAACAGAGTTTGGTCATGGTCTAGTGAAAGCTGAACCTGGATAAACCATTTGAGAGAGATGATAGAAAGATCATTGTTTGTGCAAAACAGCACACGCACATGCTGCCAGACAGAAGGGCAGGGCAGGCCGACACGCAGAAAGGCAGTGCATGTTTTCAGTGTTGTTGAAAAGTGTGTGAAGGTCTGGGTAATTGTAGGTGTGTACGAACCTGGTCGATGGCATCCGGATTCTCCGACACATCAAAGATGACGGCGGTGGCTCCCCGCTGCACGGCTCTCTTCGCCTGCACACACAGAACAAACATGAATCATTAGATGCATTCAACAAGAGTTCAAAGGGAAACGCTACGGCAGGTATGATCGCAATGTGGAGATGGTAACATTCAGCCCACTAGGGGGAGTTCTCTGCCTAAGTGTAGATCATCGGGAATGAGCGAATGAGATAGAAAACAAACGGAAGTAAACAAGCTATTGATAACATTAGCTACAGGCACATATGGTCCATTTCTCTGAAGTCATCATGGTGTAACATCTGCATGACATTAAGCTAATAGCATGACACAAACTAACACAGAGTCAAATGTGATGCAAATGTGCGTGACATGGAGTTAAAGTCATATTGAGGTCTGCTGTGCGCACTCAGGAAAGTTGAATAAAGTTTTCCAACAGCAACAAAAAAAAATGAGCTTCTTTCATGTGAGAGCAGGGAGAGACATAGCACAGAGGTCTTTTGAAGACTTCTGCTAAAGGCAAAGGATAAGGGAGACGCTTAGATGTGCAGAAGTATCTCCATGCAGAATCCAAATTGGCTTCCCCTTGTTTGAAATAAAAATACAGAAAACTTTATCTTAGCTGCTTATCTCCATGCAGAATCCAAATTGGCTTCCCCTTGTTTGAAATAAAAATACAGAAAACTTTATCTTAGCTGCTGCTTCTCTCCCCTACGACTACTTTTGATTCACGGCGCCCTATTTAGACAACGTTTTGATGTCTGCACTACACGATTTAAAATAGCGGGGCTGGGATCATATCCTGGTATTATCAAGTGCCCTTGGGTTCTTGCCAGTGCTCCTCATAACTGGAGGGAAGAGAGGTGGGGGGGGGGGGGGGTGAAGATCAAAGTGACAATGTACATTGCTGTGACTTTGCTGCCGAGTGGCTGGAGAGTGTCATCGCTGGGCCCTGACAGAGGACACAGAGAGGGGAGGGAGGGGGGTTACTGGTATGTGCGGGGGAGGCGCAATGGCTTTTTTCATAACATGTTGATCTCTGAGGTAACATGACTCAACTATGAAACGTTGAGCATGTTTTCTACATCTTTTGCCACGGTGTACACAGAAAAGACTCAGGTGTTGGTCCACCATTAGCTGCCAGATCAGCTTCACTGCTCCTCTAGTGTTTACATGGAGGCAGCGGGGAGATAACGTGTCAGTCCAAAATGTGTTGGCTCACAATGTTTTAATGGGTTCTGGTGACAGAGAAAGCCACAGCAAGTTACTCTACCTATTATTCACATTGTCAGACAGCCGTCCGTCATTACCTTTTATTACGTTTTTGTTTCTGGCTTTCATTTTGCTGATAGATGTTGGATCTGTAAAATTGCCACTTACCGCCCTGTGATTGGAAAGTGACAGGTGGTTTTGACTGATCAACTTCAAATACGTAATTAAATATAAGAACAGAAAATCCACCATGTCTGTCCAAAAGTTGTAATTCTGATCCTTTTAGACATTTGTGTGACTTTGTCATAATATAGCATATGCCTCATGTTCTGGCTAAAAATGTGTTTTTGTGAAGTGAACGCAAGTGACTGCAAATCAGTTTATTTTCGATTCCAAGTGGATTTTCACGGCAAATATTATATAATTTTTTTCCTCAAGGCATTCCTGCAATATCGCTTTGTAGAGAATGGTACAGATGAATGGACATATGGAGGAACAACCAGAATACATAAAGCCTCCAGCTGTACTCATCACAGAGGCATAACCTTAACTCAATTGATTTGAATGATGTATCAGTAATATTTTAAAGACTGTCATAGAACGTGATGTATTAAATAATCCCGTTTCTTTTTACCATTTACCTGCAGTTTGGGTAAATATGATTCTGCCCCTTTTTCAGCTGTGTTAGTACATTTCCAGCTGTTTGAAACTTATCAAAGTGCTCATTTCTTAAACGTGTGCAGCTGAGGAAGTGTGATATGATCAAGATTTGTAACTGTACATTTGATTTCATTTTTCCTTTTGATGGGTTGCAACATCATTTCCATACTCCATTTGTGTTTTATGAGTCCTTAGAAAGATGTTATTTATTAAATATTCCTGTCCAAGAAGTAGCATGATGAGCTAGTTATCCATAGCAAGAAATAGCCCCAGAGGTGTTTGCTGTCAATCAACAACTGTCAATAATGATTCTAAATATAGAATATGTTCAATTTTGTTCAACTAGCAACACACATGCATGGGTGTTCATCACTTCAGGTACTTTTGGTGGGACTACTTCTTCATGGACAAGTCGCAGCAGGAGGAAAAAAAGAAGCCAAGCCTTTGATATCAGGGGTGGCATGTGTACCACAACTTTAACATCAGCTTCAGGGAAATGTAAACACATCATGACTCTGAAGTATGTGTGCGCTACGTTTCAATTAGAGTCCCCCTCGGTTTAATCCACATACAAGATGTTTATAAATGTGACTTTCATAGCTCATTAAAGACTAATTAACCCTGCGAACGGATTCAATCTTTCCCAGCAGTGTATGAAAGCCTTGTCAAACAGCGAAACATTAAAACAGTGTTGAGCTATAAACACAAACTCTTCCAACTTTCTCTTTCGTCCTGCTTCCTTTACATAAACTAACATCGCTCTTTTCTTTCTTCTTTCACTTTTTCTTCTACTCGGAAAGTTCAAAAGCAACGGGAGCGAATATCTCGCTCGGCTTTTCCCTCTCACGCAGTTTTTCTCTCAGCTCCACACTGCCAGGCTCCAGCCCCCATTTAATTCAGCACAAGTCTGCTCCTTTGATGTTAGCTCTCCCAGTAAATAATTAATAGCTCTTGGTAAGACGCTTCAAGAAGAAAGAGATCTCCCTCCGAAAGAATCTCCACTCGGGGCAGGCCTGCGCTGCAGTGCAGGGACTTGCCTGACGACAACAAAAATGCCCCCACAGGCAAACTGGTTCTCTTAAAAACATGACACATCTCCTTCCCAACTCCATGCAAAACGACAACCCTGGACTCCAAAGGCAGGGTATTGCTTTGTGATCGGTAATGTACATTCTTCAGACTTTGTGATGTTGCTGAAAAGTGAACAGTCAGGTCAACCTGTTTACTTCACTGACTCAAACTGGCTGCAGAATGTCAAATGGCAGAGTTCCTGTATACAAGGTAAAAAGGTTAAGACAAGTCCATCCTCTGCAGCAAACTTAAAAAAAAACAAAGATCAATAAGACGCTAAAGTCTTTTATTCACACCAGTTTCATATAGATTTGACAGGAATTTCAAGAGAGTCGTAGATTACATACGAGGCGCAGCTTTTGATCATTTAAGGGATCCAATATTACAAGCTGTGGTGTAATGTAACTAAGTACTCTACTTTAGATAAAAATGGAGGTACTTGTACTTTACTTGAGTATTTTCACATAACTTTATACTTTTACTGCACTACATTTTGTGGGCAAATGTACAAATAGTTCCAATACCGAGGGTTGCAAGATACTTGCAACCCTCGGTATTGGAACTACCAAACTTTATACAAAGTAATTCAAACTAGCTCTGCCTCCACCAGCTACAACAGTATATGTATTTGTTCAAATGCAACAATCAGATGATGTCATTTATCATACTATATCCCTCACTGCAGCCATGTAACTGCAGTGAGGGATATGATGAATGCTTTTTTACTTGTTGAGAGCATTAATAAATATAATTGAATTATAATGATGTACTCAAAGCTTAGTCACCACCATCTGTTGTAATTGATTAGTAGAAACAAAACTTTATTCAACATCCCCCTTAAAAGAAATTGAAGGTGCAATCTCTCAGAAGTAAGAGGCAAATCGAAGTACGACGAAGGCAAGAGCCATTGACCTACTCCTCACATCCTACAATAATTGCTCATAAATAAACTGAACTCTCCACCTGAACTGCATGCTCTGGGCTGGGGTGGGGGTGTGGGGTTCCCAGGTACTTTACAAGACTGCTGGCTAAACACACTTCCTGCTGGCTCCGAGGCACGAGAATTAGGAGTACAATCTTCCCTGGGTGAAGGAAAAGCCACAGCAGAAAGTACTGAGAACCCAGTCTAGACACTAGGAAAATGAAAGCTATGTTTAGCATCCCTGCCAGCGTGTAAGATCTGAGGGAGAGGAATTCTCACTCGACTGGAAAGAGACTTTTTCTCAGTGCGGCGCTCACTCCATCGTGGCTGGAGGATTCTCATATTACCACATCAGCGCACCTCTCCATACGCAGGGGACACGGGAGGTTATCTGCAGACGGGTGCACCTGGATTACACCTGCAACATCTGGCTCTCACATAGTTCCTCCATCACATCACTCTTTTTTTTACTACTTTCTTCTTCTCTGATTCCCTCCTTCCTCATGGCTCCTCCTCCTCCTCCTCCTCCTCCTCCTCCTCCTCCTCCTCCTCCTCCTCCTCCTCCTCCTCCTCCTCCTCCTCCTCCTCCTCTTCATGCTTTCCTTTCCCTCTCTCTCTTGCTCTGCACTGCTATAATTAAGGCAATTAAGTCTTCAGAAGACTCTGCACTGCTATTATGCTGTAATTTCATGTTGCCTCCTGGCTTTACGGTTTATTAAAAGATAAAGGCATACTTTTCTCCCATGGATTTTTTTATATGTGGTCGCCCTTTTTTTTCTTCTCTCCTTCCTCACTCGCTCTCAGTGCAGGCATGTGTGCCAAGACATTATTTACATTCAACTAAAATAAAATCAAGTTCTCAACGTGGCTGTGCGTCATCTGATTGGAAGCTCGTGCAGCCCGGGGAAGTTTGAAGCTACTGTACAAATTGTACTTTTCGCACATGAAGTCATCGGTGTTATCTTGACATTTTCATCAACAGGATTTAGTCATTTCACGAAGCACATTACTCATCATCCTCCTGGTATCCCACCGTTTGATGTTAACACTTGGCTGACAGACTGGTAATCTGTCATAACATTTTACTCTGTTTACAGATACTTGACATAATCGTATTGGCTCTGTTAGTTATAATCAACTGGTTTGACACCCTCGCCCTGTTGGAGCTGCTACCTGCTGTGTCACGAAA